TGTTCTAATGAAGACTGCTTTAAAGAATAAATATTTCTACTTTTACACAGAATTAAAACCAATCTAAGATTGCTAGTGTATATTCATGCTACTTTTTCCTTTGGAGAATGAGACACAATATTATTCCTAATTCTCAACTTTGAATGCCCAAAGGAAAATATAGGATTTACTTATCATTTGAAATTTTAAGTGACCAAAGACTGATTCTTATTTAACATGTTCATATTTAAAATATCTAAGATAAAGAGGGTATGTATGCGATATTTATATAAACTAACGCATACATATTTATATATTTATTTCACTAATAAATTCTTCTTTTCAGATGGGAGCTGACCTTCTAAAATAAATCTACATATAAAGAATAATATAAGAGAACAATAAAAATGTTTATAACCTTCACCGTTCTTTTTATATAACACATCCATTAAGCCAGAAATCTTTCCTTGGGTTTAATTTGTGAAAATTCCTTTGTATCACCTATCAAGAGAAAAATCACATTTTCAAAGAAAACCAGCACTTATTTGTTATGACTTTGGACTTTATAATATGTATATATACATATAGACAGATATAAATCAGTATATTATTATTATAGAGGTTAGGAATCATAAAGAGAATTATAGAATACTCATGTTTCTAAGGTGTAGGGCAATGAAAAGATTCATCCAGTACTATGCATTCATAGTGGGTAATGTTAAAAAGAAACAGTCTATTTCAAAGTAAAAATTAATGAAAACAATGTTAGCTAACCATTTTTCCAATTTAATTCAATAAAAATCCAACAACCATTATATAGTTGTTCTAATTACTTTTTAAAATATAATTTTGGTTATTTGTAAGTTAGTAGCCACTATTGGAACAACATTTGATATAAATTCAATTTACTGTCCACCATTTAAGATGTAATTTATCTTCTTAACCCAATGGAAAGGGAATTAGGGAATTTTTTTTTAAAGCAAAAGTACTATGTAGAAATCTGAGTTCTCTACACTTTCATTATGTGTACCTACACATGTGACCAATTATCATCAATACTTCCCAGAATTTCTTAGACAGCTTTTTACTAAAGTAAATTATTTTAAATAATCTATCAATTTATAAATTATCCACTTGTCTTCCTCAATTATTTTCAAAATTATAGGAGGTAGGAAAGATTTTACACAAACATGGGTGAACATTCCACATTCCCAGGTTGTTGCTTGTAGCAGTTTCTTGAATTTTTTTTAATACTATTTTATTTTTTTTTCCAATTACATGTAAAGATAGTTTTCAACATTCATTTTTTATAAGATTCTGAGTTCCAAATTTTTTCTTTCTCCCTCCTCCCAAGATGGCAAGCAATTAGTAGTTGAAATTTCCCAAATATCAGTGAACAATAAAAGAATGTTTCAATGCCACTCTTCCTAAAATGAGTTAGATTTTCTCGCTAGTCTGGTTATTTTTTCCTCATACACTTTACCTGAATTCTACCAGCTGCTACCTAGTCTATGGCTTTGACTTGAGTTACAGTAGCACAAAATCCTTTTATAGGCTTCTTCACCAGATGTGGATAATTGGCTCTCAGAGGTTAGATCTAACCAAAAACATGTTTTTTTAAAAATTATTATTAAAATATCAATATAGATTAGTTACCATCACTCAATGAAAAGTAAACAAACACAAAAATATGTCTATGTCAATACTAAAAACAAACAAAGCAGTCAAGTGCTATTTAGGCTCCTTAAATGAAACTTGACTTTCTCTTCTGTGAAAAATATTTATTCTTTTCAATAGAAGTTTGCAAGTATTGAAAAAGGGTTTCTATATCTTAGGCTGTCTTTGGTCCCTGTAAATCCTAGTACCTTTCTTGTTTGAAGACCTTTGTGGTACATTTATCTAGATATTTATTTTGGTAGTGACCTGCAGATTTGCTAATTAAACTTGGAATGTAGTCCCCCTTGCAGGTCACTGTTTCCTTTAAGAACAGAATGCATCAACCCCAGATGCTACTCCATGGATTTTTTTCTTTCCTTCTCTTTTAGATCAATCAATTAATCAATATTTGTTAAAAACCTACTCAGTGCCAGTCACAGCTCTAAACACTCTAAATACTTGTACACAAAGAGGTCCTAGGGAGCTCACAATCTAAATGTTTAGGGTTGAAAATCCTGAGGCAGCTAGGTGACACAGTAGACAGAGTGATGGGGCCCTGGAGTTAGGAAGACCTAACTTTAAGGTATTTAGTACAGTACCCGGCACATAGTCGATGCTATAGCTAGCATTTATAATATTTATATACCGCTGTAATGTTTGCGAAACCCTTTACAATTTTCTCATTTCATCCTCAAAGCAACCCTAGGAAATAGGTGCTATTTATAAACCTACATTTTACAGGTGAGGGAACTGGGGAAGACAGATGTTAAGAGACTTGCCCAGGGTCAAAGAGTTAGTAAGATGCACTCTAGGCAGGATTTGAACTCTGGCCTTCCAAAATCCAGGTCCACCATTCTATTCCCTGTGCCACCCAGCGGCCATAAATGCTACCTATTTGTTGTTGCTCTTACTGTTGTTGAAAACTACACCAAAGCATAGACACAGAAATTATCCATAAACTATAGGTCAGTGAGCTTGACTTTGTATCCTGGCAAAGTTCTAGAAAGTATTATTTAAAAAGGAATGGTTACTGAAAATATAGAAAAGGAAGTAGTGATCAAAAACTTCATGTCTTTATCAAGAATACGTCATGTGAGTCAAAACACATTTTACTTTTTGGATATAATTTTTCTTACATATAGTTTAGAGAATGCTATAGCGGTAGTTTACCTTTATTTTAGAAAAATATTGGCAAAGTCACGCAACTATTCTTGTAAACAAGATGTAGACTATGGGATATATGATAGTCGAATTAGATTAATTCAGAATTAGATAAATGGCTTAACTCAGAAAGTAGTTGTTACTGGTACAATGTAAGATATTGATGCCACATTTACCAAATTTGTAGATATAACAAGGCTAGGAAATACAGACCACATGTTGAGCAGATTTAACTATCATTTCTAATACATATGACTTTAAGATCTACATATTCAGTAGTAGTCCCTTTCCTGAACACTTATTAGACATTTTCAAATGAATGCCCCCTAGGTATCTCAAATGCAATATTTCAAAATAGAAATAATTTTCTTTATCCACAGGAGGATAGACTTAGATCTAGAAGGTACCTTAGGGATCATAAATCAGAAATCAACAGGTCAGTCAACTTTAAAAAAAAACTTCACTTTTAAGTTATGCTTTTTAAAATAATATTCAATGTATTTCTTTCTGCATGATAATTTATTAAGAATTATTGAAACCCTAATGAGCTCTGAGAAACTGAGAAAAATATAGAGAAACTGAGGCCCAGATAGGTGGATGACCTGCCCAAGGTCATATAGGAAACAAGTGTCAGAACTGAAATTCAGCCATAGTTCTGACTCCAATCTATTATTCTTTGCAGTCTACCATGGTGCATCACTGCACATCTTCTCTTTGGGTGGTTTGGATGACCTATGCCTTATACAGCCCCTCATCTCTGCTCTCCTGGATGATTGTAATCTCCTCTGAATTACTTTTTCTTCCTACAGAGTATCCCAACTCAAATCCATCCATCCACACAACCATCAAAATTATTTTCCTAAAGCACAAGTCTGGGCATGTCACTCCACAACTCAATAAATACCACCATTAGGGCCAAATATAAACTTTTATGCTTGTCATCTAAAGCCCTTCACAACCTGGCACCAACCTACCCTTCTAATCTTCTTACACATCAGACCCCTTCATGAATATTACTGTCCAGCCAAATTAGTCTTCTTACTGTTTCTCATACATGGCGCTCTATCTCCCATTTCTATGCCTTTTCTTTTCGTGCCGGCTATCCCATATACCTAGTACCTTTTCCACAAAATTATCTTGTGATACCTAATTTCAAGATGACTCATTTTGTATCTATTTTATATATCCCTATATATGTATATGTTGTCTCGCCTGGCTAAACTGTAAACTGGGCAAGGGTAGCGATTGTTCAGTTTTTGGATTTATAATACTTGCCACAAGGTAGACACTTAAAAAATTCTTATTGATTCATTTATTGGTAGATAAATTTAAGAGTGTCCAAACAGGGGTGACTAGAGTGGAGAAGGGCCTGCAGGTCACATCAAATGAAGAATGGTTACAGAAGCTGAGAATGTTGACTAGACAGGAGAAGGATATATGACAGCTGTTTCTGAAAGGTGTATTACATGGATGAGACATTAGATCTATTCTCCCGGGGGCCCAGAGGGCAGAAGAAGCAAGTTAAAAAGAGAAAAAAATTAGGCCTGATATAGGGATAATATGAGCTATTCGAAAGTATAATGGGCTGCTTTAGAAGTAAGCGCTCCGTTATCCTTCATTAAGGTCTTCAAGCAAAAGCCGGATGGTCATGGGTCAGATATGACATGTAAGGGATTTTGTTCAGGTACAGGTTATATTAGATGATCTCTGAGGGCCCTTTAAACTTTAGAATTCTTGATGGTTACCAATCCTGTGCTATCATTTCCCAATTATGGTCAAATTTTTCAAAACTGGAAATTATTTTCCTATCTCCTACCTTTGTATTGAATATCATTTTAACGCACAATGCTATTTCGTTTGGATAATTGACCCTATGGTTTAGAAGCAGATCTACTCTCAGTTCAAGTTTCTTTGCTTACTGTGTTCTTTTGCTTTTGCTTTTCAGACATATTTTTAAACATAACTTAAGAGAATGCATTTAATCAGGTTTACTTAGTAATTTTCTCACATCACTGAAATAAAGAAATGTGGCACTCTTGATTTACCACAATTCATATATAGAACAGAACCATGTAGGCATTAAGACAACACCTGGAGAGTCAGGGTATAAGTTGTCATTCTGAGGGTAAGTACAATTGAATAACATAGACCTGCGAAGCAGAGTAATCATAGAAATAGTAGGAATATGTGGGATGATCTCTGACCTGGATCTGTTGTTGAAGCAGATTGATTTTGTGTTGCTGCTGTAGAAGTTGCTGCTGTTGTCTTGCAATCTGTGGAGAAATTGCACGTGAAAACTTAAAAAAAAAACCTTAGGTTTCTTATTTTAAAAGATATTATCATTTTTTAAAGTAGGAGTCTCCCTATTTGGTTCAGAATGGAAGTTCAATGGCCTCTCATTGCCTGATCCCACTACTGACTGGCAGGGAAGCTTTTATCTGCCCCATTTCAGACCTGGGTCAATTGCTGCTCCTTAGGGAGCCTGGTGGCCCTTTATTCTCAAGAGTTCACCTTATTGAAGTTGGACGTAATGTGGACACACAATCAGTTGTAGCCCTACTGCAACTCAGAATTTCCAAAGTCAAGCAATCCACCAATGTCAGCCTCTCTAGTAGCTGGGATTACAGGTGTGTGCCACCACACCTCATTTATGCCTTAGTTTATAACAAGAATTGGTAGTCTTCCACTCTGTAAAAGTCCTACTTGACCTTGATTTAAATGACATAAATAGTATGAATGACTATCTAAACAGTCAGGTTTTGTAAGTTATGTCAGGGTTTGGAAGTCTTGGGGACAGTTAGTGTTTATGTAGCCCCAAGTAAGTGAAGCCTAGGATACTACTATGATAAACTATTCAGGAAAATGATATTGTAGTATGGATAGACTTCAAGACAGATGTAATCTCCTTGAGGTCAAGAGCATGTCTTATTTATCTTTTAGTTCTTCAGAAGCCTAATATAATAGCTCAATAAAAGCTTATTGAATGAATGAAATTACCCTTTGTCAGTGCAAGAAGCAGGCATTGCCATTAACACCAGTCAGACCTTTCTTGTCAAGAAAGAACACTGTACTTTACAACAGAAAATAGGAAAAAGCTACACAAAAAGAATACAATTATGTTTCACTAAGGAATAGTAGTGGGCATATAATCTGAAATATCTTTCTACATGAGATAGGTAGGAGGAATGAAAATTAGTAACAAAGACTACCTTATCCTTAAGAGGACATGGTATTTTTAATAATAAAATTTATTTTTTTAAAAAATAAGCCAACATTCATTCACATACCATTTTAAAATTTGCTAATCAGTTTATTTGTAATATTAAATATGAAATTATGGAGGCAATATGTAGTAATAGATAAAGATCCAGGCTTAAAGCCAGAAAAACCTCAGTTGACCTCTCACCTCTTATGCATATTGTGGCTATGCAACTTTTTAGGCAACTCTCTAAGGCTATAAGTTTCCTGAGAAGTTAACTTCCATTGTTAAAGGAAGTTTCCTCACCTAGATACTTCCTGTATCAATGAAGTCACAGATCCATTCATTATATAGTTTTTTTAAACTAAATGTTTATCCTCAATATGACCAACTAAAATCAGAAACTACTTTCACTTAAATTAGTACTATTGACTTTTAAATTGATTAATTTCAATGTGTAAAATACGATAACTTTAAATACTCATCATGAGTCTTTATCTTTTTTTCCCCCTTCCCTCCACCCCTTCTCTTTAAGTCTTGTAAGGGATATGATCATTTTCTTCTGTTTGTTTATTTGTTTTTCACTCATCATTCCATACCTATCCCAAGAAAATAGAGAAATTTGGTACCATACTTGGTCATTATAATTATAAGACCTTTAGTTTTATTTCATTATTTCCATTTTTGTTGCTGTAGTCAAAGCAAAGTCTAGTGTACACCATCAGCAGCTCAATATCTTCCCTGCCACTCTTCCCCCTCCACAGTTGCCATCAGTTTAGGACTAAACACCATCTGAACTAAACATTCCCACTTTGTTAACCTCCTCAATTCCCTCATTACATTGTAGACACATAGAAATAGGCTATATAAAAATGCTGATGAATTTTTATTCATTTACTCGCATCTTGCCACTTTATAGAAGTCATTAATTGTATCAGATTCTTTAATTTTCTGTGATTTTCTAAATAGACTATCATCTGCAAATAATGATAGTTTTGTTTTTTCTTTGCTGATACTTAATCTTTAATCTATTTTGTATTTAATTGCTATCATTAGCATTTCTAAAATGACATAAAATAGTCATAGGGAGAGTGGGACATTCTTGCTTTACTCTTTAATTTTTTGAGAAATCTTCTAGTGATTCTCCATTGCAAATAATGCTACCTCAACATTTGGTTTGTTCTCTCTCTCTCTCTCTCTCTCTCTCTCTCTCCTCTCTTTCTCATAACTTATACTTTTTACAATTTACTTTTAATAATAATTAGCATTTATATAGTGCCTACTATATTCTAAGGCTAGGCATTGTGTTAGGCCCTTTACAAATATTATCTTATTTAATCCTTAGAACAAGGGAGGGAGGGAGGTGGTATTATTATCTTCATTTTACATTTGGAAAAACTAAGGCAAATAAATCACATAGTTAGTAAGTATCTGAGCCCACATTTGAGCTCATTTCTTCCCAGTACAGGTCCAGCAGTCTATCTACCAGGCCATGTAGCTGCCTCTTATTTTAAAAATAATGTAGTATTCATGTTTATCTCTCTTGACACTGGATTTTCTTTTGTTTGATACCACAATTGTGACTTCTCTCACCTACTCAATTTTGAATCATCTGAAATTCAAATGGATCTCTTAGATCACTGGTTTTGGAGTTCAATAAAATGACATTCATTACAACCCACTAATATCTCCCCATCCTGTGTTATTATTCTTTATCATGTTCTCCCATTCTCACCAAATTTCTCTTGATATTGTGAGGGTACTAGTGGACTGAGTTGGATATCCACCTGTAATGCCTCACTCTTGCCACATGACAAGCCCATCTCTTCCTATTATATATGTCTTTTATGATCCTTCTGTTCTTCAAAATTCTTTATTGATTCTAAGTTGCAGCTTGTCTATATCCATTATGCATTTTTCCATTGCCTTCTGTATGATAATGATATTAATCTTCAATTCTTCCTGTACTATTATATTCCATATAACAATGATAAACTATTGGTATTAAAAATATGAACCTTTGTTTCCTTGGGATTTGTGGCGATTTAAGGAGCTTTTCAAATATCTAAGGGTAATATGGTATGATCTTCTCCTCTTTTTCAACTAAGGGCACAACTGGTTGTCCAAATTTATTGAATGCTCTAGATATATAAACCAATGAATAAATTTTATAAGTTTTCAATTCAAATACAAGTCAGAATCTGGGCAATAGTTATGTTCACTCATATTACCTTTCTTGTATGGAAGGTCAGGTCAAATTCTGGTGAATTATCTTTTTAAAGTGGCTCTTCCAATGTTCCAGGGTTTGGGACAACCATTTCAATCTCATCCACTAAAAGAACAACCTGAAGGTTCTCACGATTTTTCAAAGAATACCTATTCAATGTATACTTCAGAGGTATCAAACTCACTGCCCACTGGCCTTAGAGTTCCACAAAATTCAGATTAAAGTGTAACCAGGAAATGCTTAATAAAATCAGTGTAATTATAATAGAATATAGATAATGTGAATTTGTGGTTTTCTAAATCAATATGTGGCGGGGAGCCATTTCAATGAGTATGACACCCCTGGTGTATACTATACTTCATCTCCTTCAGCACAAGGGCAAAGACCTTTGGTGAGAATACATTTTTGTTGAATATTTTTCCTGATGTTTATGGTCAGATCATCATTGAACAGGGTTATTCCTGTTAAGTATTTCAGGGAATCTTAAATGATTTTGATGTATTAATAGGAGACTTTGGAAAATGACCTTTAAGGAAACATTTTATTCCACTGGATCAATGATTTTCCGTAATAAACAAACAATAAGAACAATGGGATATTCCCTTCTGCATCTTAAAGTCAATTGTGAAATGGTAAAGATATGATTTTGTTAGTGAAAGCCTTATTGTTCTCCACAAATAACCTTGGTGAGGTTGCCCTTCATTTGTGTATTGTTGATTTTCATAGATATTTTATATCACTGGGAGAGGAGTCATAAAGGTCAGCTGTTTTTGCAAATCTTTTTTTGGTAGTAATAAGGATCAGGATTTGTTCTACACCTTGGTATCTTTTTCCATTTGATAACTCAGCTCTTACAAGTGTGAAGTATCTTTTAGTGCTCTCACAATTATGTCTCTTTCAACACAAATCTAATCTCTATATAAAATACATATGGATGTGTCTAAATTATATATACTGCATAGCAGCTTTTTACATCTTTATTCTTTCTAGTGCCATTTCTTTTTCCTTCATAAGAATATTTGGACTGTGGTGTTAGAATCAAGTGTCCTTAATGATGCTTTGCTTTGACAACATTTACATATATTTTCCATTTTTTTCTATTTGTTTTCCAGCCTCTCATTTTCATCATCATGATGTTTTGTTGTCGTTCATCCTTATTCTCGATGTGTCTTTGTTTATAGTTTTATTTCTTGTATACAGCAAAAAAGCTTTTTCTTTTAAAAATCTATTCTGCCATTTTCATGTTATTGGTTTGTTTAGGGCATTTCCTTTTAAGATTATGATTGTTAGGTTTGTGTTTTCCTCTATTTGATTTAAATTCCCTTCCTCACTAAAAATGCAGTTCACTTAATTATTGCTTAATTTCTTATATTTTTCTAAAACTATTTTATAGTTCTTTAATTTCTTTAATGTGCTTACTATTCAATTTATTGTTTCCATTAGTATTTCTTCAATCCTGTCCATTGATGCTTTGACTCTGATTTTGAGAGGAATTTTACCTTTTAAGTTATTTACTTTGCAGATATACATTATTGACTTGTAGGTTTCTCTGGTTTACCACACATTTTTCTCATGCACAATGACAGCAGTAAAGGGTGAGCTGCTGTGGTAGGTAGGGAGAATCTGGTACCATAATGGGGTTGAGTATAGATTAGTTACTCCCTCCGGTCAGATTGGTAGTGGGAAGCATGAAATTTACTCAGGGTTTTTTTTTTCAGGGAACAAAGAGGAAAGAAGGATTTTCTAGCAGTCTAGTAGGAACTACTGACAGTTTTTTTAAGCCTTGGCTATGTGCTTATTTGCAATTCTGTGGGCTGAGAGGGTGGGTTCTTGCCACTTTTGGCAAAGGTGGTGCATGATGGGACAAGAATTTCTGAGGTTTTGGTCCTTCAGGGAAGATGAGAGTAGAAGTGATTCCTCATGTCCTATTCTTATTCTGGAATATAAGCAAACAGTTTTGAGGACCTCAGTGGAGACAGAGAGAGAGAGAGAGAGAGAGAGAGAGAAAGAGAAAGAGACAGAGAGACACAAAGAGAGAGAGAGACAGAGAGATAGAGAGACAGAGACAAAGAGAGACAGAGACAGAGAAACAGAGAGAGAGAGAGAGACAGAGAAGAGAGAGAGACAGAGAGACAGAGACAGAGTCAATTCCCTCCCAGATCTTCAAGATCATTCCAGACCAATAGAGAACTTCACCATCTACCCTGCTAAACCAACTCTGGAATCCTTCAAATGTCATGTTTGCCAAGTCTGGAACCAAATCCTCAAGGTTTAGTAGCAAGAGGGCTTAAACATGAGGGAATAAGGAAAAGCTCTGTTGTGAATCAAAGTAGTCATTGGTGCTCTGTAGAAGTCATTGCCACAATTTTATCCCCTGTGCCACAGGGGAAAGTAAGAAGTAGAATAATCTTCCTAGGAAATATTTTATTATTAGTCCGGTCTTTTCCTCATCTCTGGTGGGGAGGGATGTGTGTGCTGGGAAACCACCATCAGTCATTACATCCCAAAAGGCCATTCTTTATCTAAAACCAGAAAAACAAATTTGAATGAATGACTTTTCAACTTAGACTAGACTATCTCTACAAGTTTCACTCACCTGTTCTTGCTGCTGCTTGGCCAGTTCCATTTGCTGGCGCTGTTTCTCAATTTGGGAGGCAGCCAACTTCTTTTGTTCATCATGAGCTGCCAGCAGCTGCTCTCGCAAACTGGTCAACTGATTGATCATACCCATGAGCTGCCTCTCTTTCTCAGCAAGGCTTTCTGGAGTTCCTAGTAAGTGTATGACCAAAAAACAAAACAAAACAAAACAAACAAACAAACAAAAAAAAAACAAAAAAAAGGTGGGAGGAGAAATTAGAAAATGGTAATTGTCAATGACAATGAATCTGCAAGCTAGAGAAATTTCCCAATTCCAAAAGCTTTTAACATTCATATATATGCACACCTCCCAACTTTATTTTGAAGATTTTTATTTATCAAATACAATAAACAAATAATATTTGTCATTTTAAAAATACCCCCCAATTAAAAATTTGTTGTTTTATCAAAACAAATAAATTTCACTACCAGTACAGGATTTACTGCCTGGTCATACCATCTAATTGGTATATACATCACATTATCTGAATCCCTACTGTGTAAAGCGAGATCCCGATTAGTGTGAATAATGAATACTGCAAAGCAGACATACTATAGTTGAGTTAATATTATTCAAAGTTATAATTATGTAAATCAATCTCAACCTAATGGAAATATGCAGTACAAATACAATGAATGCAAGCACTTCATAGGACTGATTATTTACACTAATTAGTACCTAACTGAAATATATATTGCACGTTGTTTCCCTCTGCAAACTCCTAGAGGGTAGGGACTGTTTTTGCCTTTTTTTGTGTGTGTCACCAGGACTTAGCACAGTGCCTGGCACATAGGAGGTATTTAATAAATGTTTATTGACTGACTTAGGTTACTGCTTGTGGCTGGGTCTAGAATACTGAAAATAGGGAATTTTTCTCCAAAAAGATAATACCCAATTGCTATACATATATTCTAGTCAGATGTTTAGATGGGGAGTTCAGAAAAATATAACACAGTTTCTTTCCTGAAGGAGATTATAATTAGTCAAACAAATAAGGTATAAACCTATGAAAAGTTAAATTGAATAAAAATAAAAATAACAGTTTGGGGCATTACCATAAAAATAATATTCTCCTTTATAAGAGTATTTCTTTGAAGAAGTAAAACTCAAGAAAAGCCTATAAAATGATAGATAGCTAAATCTTGGACCTATTAGGCAGAAGCTAGTTTAATGCTTTTTCTAGAAATATATATATCTGCAAAAATGTTCTCTATAGTTAGAGATAGGGGGATTTGAAGAAAAAAGTGGAATTTGGCTAGAGTACTTGAATATATTCAACAAATTTAAACTACATAAATATATATTTTTGACCAGTGCATTAAGATACCTGTTGGGTATACAGGAAATGTGAAAATTTCATTGACGGTTGAAATAGTATCACATTTAAAAGTTCTGTTAAACCTCACCAGATAGACAAGCACCCCTATGGTAAGGTACTAGCAGTAGGAGAGAAAGTACTTTTTAATTATAATTTTCACTTCAAATGTAAGACACTAAGCACTATTTTAATAATGCATTTGCCACCTGTACATGTAATTAGATAGAACGGCCTGTTATAACCCAGTCACCCTTCCCCACCCCATTTCATTCCTTCCTGTCTATTTATGCTGAAAAAGCATGTACCTTTTTCAAAATCTGCAGCTATAGTTGGTGGCTTATAACTTTTACTTGCCCATTAGGGATTAAAATAAAGTCATCAATTTATTTTACATAAGCCAGTAAATGAACACTAAGGAAAGACCAATGTATGATTATAATCTTATGGAAGGTAGATGGCATATGTCTTAGTATTTCTAGATCCCATCATGGGGTGGAATTTAGGCTCTAAATTCAGTAAACATTAAGTGCCTACTAAAGGTCAGACGTAATAGTAGGTACTCAGTAAAGGTGTTCACTGATTATATGTCAGGCAATAAAATTGCTATTATTTGTATTCATAGCAAAGTAGAATTGATTCCATCAGTGGCAATTAACATAGCTAGTTTTATTGGATCCCCTTCACTATTAATATTGGTTGCTAAAATATTCTATCGGGAAATACAGCAGGGAAAAATGAATGAGGTTTGGTAGTTTGTAGTGATACTAACAATTTCAATAATTAAGTCTACTATCAAGTGAAACACTGGTTTAAAAATTATTGGCTAAACTACTATGTTCATAGAAAAAGAGCAACATTCTTTATGTCTGTGAATTTAGGTATAGAAGAATTATCTTGATTTTAAAACCTACTAAAATAACATTCATTAGGAAATAATACAGATAATCTATCCATAATACCTAGAAGATATCAGTCAAAAACTTAACAGAAATCTAGTGATAAACACTTCAGATTTAAAGCTAAAAATGCAATGGGTACCATCATTGTGATAAGATATAGAGAAGGAAAAGTATAAAAAAGATAATAGGCATTTCAAGGATTTAGTTTCAAGTTTGCTACAGTATCCTAGAACTCTTAAATCCGAGTCTCCAAAATCTTTTGATTTCACACTCCTGTCACTGAAAAAAAAAATTTGAGATCTCCTCATTTATCTATATTCATTTACTTATAAAATTATATACATGTACACATACTAAAATTTTGTATAGTTTAAAATACGTAAAATAGAAATAAAAAAGATGAGGTAAAGATGAAATATTTTTAAAATATTTCATAAGTGTTACAAAAACTTTTTTCTTCTCATGAAATATTATTAATAATGACATTTTAGTGAGAGTAATGCTTCATTTTTTTTGAAAAGTCTTGGTTTAAAACTTTGTGATGTAGCAATTCAAAGTTCTAAGTTTAATTTATTTTAATACTTGGTTTTAATGGATGTCATAGTTGAAAAAGGTAACTTACAAAGACATATTGATCCAAATGGAAGAAGTGCATCATTGGCTGCACTTACTAAATCATGACACTCATTTTTCATTCCCATTCATAAATTAGGCAAATAATTTTATTGAAATTCAGCTAGCAAATTTCTATCTTCTTGATATAAATAAAACTTTTTGTACATATTAAATGAAAGTTATTTCACTTTTATAATTATAAGAACTGGGTTCATAACACTCTAACAGTAATTTGAAAGATTTTTTAATAAGTTGATAAAAAGTAACACATTCATTAGAAAAAGTAACATTAATTATATAATCTGTCATAAGCCCCCTCAAATTAATAAGAACTTAAAATAAAGCTAGTGATAGGCATCCAAAGTTTAAAGCTAAAAATGCAATATGAATACCACCATTGTTCAAAGATTTAGTGATAAGAAGGTAAAAAATCTCATCTTTTTGCCTCAATTAAATTTTATATCATTTATTTTCTTTCCATAAAATGCAAGTTTATTTATGTCTTCTGTGCTTATGTCAATTTTTTTTGTAAAGTTACTTACTATGGGATGCTGAGAAATATATTTAATATTTCAATTCAATATCAGAGTTTGGATTTATCCAGCTCTGAAAGAAAGAATATTAAAGTATCACCTTTTATCATTGTATTACTGCGCTTTGGTAATTCACTTTATTTTCTTTGAAAAACTTAGATGTGATACCATTTAGGTCTTATATTTAATGATATATATATATTTTTTTCATTATCTATGGTGACTTAAAGGAATGTAGTTTTCTTATTTATCTTTCTTGTCATTGTAAAATTTTATTGTTCCTTTGCCTAAAATTGTGATAGCAACTTTTGAATTTTTAATCACCTGAGGCAATATAGATTTTTCCCATTCCCTCATTTTCAATCTATGTTTCTATGTTTTTAATATTTTATGTGTAAAACCTGATAGAGAGACCATGTCTGACAATATACAAAATATTCTGTCCTTGTAGCCTTCCACATCTGTGCAGTGAGCGTAAAAAGAACATTACATTCTCTGTGACCTTAACTGGCTTCTTCAATCATAACAGTTAAATTTCCTTTCAATAAACTTTTCATTATAGTTGTGTCTATTGTGCTCTTCAGGCCACTATGTGGTATAGTGGATGGAGCACTAGCCCTGGAGTCAGGAGAACCTGAGTTCAAATCTCAGACACTTATTAGTGGTATCACCTTGGCCAAGTCTCTTAACCCTAAACCCTCAGTTTCCTCATCTATAAAATGAGCTGGAGAAGGACATGGCAAATCATTCCAGTAGCTTTGCGAAGAAAACCCCAAATGGAGTTATGGAAAGTAAGACATGCCTGACATGACTCAACAACAAAAACTGTGCTTTTTGCTTGGCTTCTTTTGGTCTATATCAATTTATACAAATTTTACCACTTTTCTCAGGATTCTTCACATACAAATAAACTTTTGGAACACATTTTCTTCATAACTTAGGAAATACTGGGAAACTATCTCTAATTATTTAGGTATATCACTTCATGTTTCTGTTATTTATTTCTATAATGTATATTATGTGTGCCTTACCTGTGTTATCTTACTAGGTTATAAGGTCCATAAAACAGAAACCCTGACCCTTGGCCTCTCAGAGCAGGCCAAGCATAGTACTCTGCATGTAAGAGGCATACAATAAATATTTGTTATATTGTACTACAGCAAAGAATCTTTAAGATTAAAGTAGTCTAAGAGGCAAAATTATCTTCTTAAAATAAATGGAACTTAAATAATTTCGGAATAAGCAAGTCTTCCCTCCAACCCTGAATAATTTCTCTTTTGCCCTGATATTATTTTGAATATCAACGTTACATTCCGAAATGGATTTTTTTTCTCTTTAATTTTTTTCTAGAGTTGGGGTTGCTTTCAAGAAGGATTCCTCTCATGAAATCTGGGAAGAATATGCAGTACTCATTTTTGGGAACTCTGCCCAGTAGATTGAAAGTATTTCAAATCAAGCCAAATTTAAATTCTTCTGGATTTATCATAAGGTTTTTATTGTTGTTGTTGATGATGATGCTACTTTGTTGGGCATAGGATTTCATCAATTTTTTTTTCTATCTCCTCCATTCCTTACTGATAACACTAATGGCCTTCTGCTGGATTTTTTTTCTTTTTTTAGTATTTTGTGTGTACCGATGTAGTACTCTACACTGTTATCACTTAGTCTTACTATGCTCAAACTATACCCATACTCTGATCCAGATGGGAACCCAGTTTCATCATGAGCCAAGTCTTTTCCATGGAAGAAATTCAATAAAGCTAACA